CCGGCTGGTGTAGGGTCGGCTTTTAGTACCGTTTACCTTCGTTTCCTCCCCCCCCCCCCCCGCCCTAAAGCGCCAGTGTGGCAGACCCTAAATTGCTGAACCTAATCTTTTTGCGCCCAAACGAATCGAACTGGTCCCCGCCAGGCTGGTACATTCATTGGAACCGTGGCCTCCTTGTATCCCACTGGAAGTTTTGGATGAGGGGCCTTGTACTGGTGGGTTTGATGGATTTTGTGTCAGTGTTGTTATATGTCTGGCTACGCAGCAATTTGACAAATGTGTTGGGCAGTTTCGGGGCAACGAATATGGTGATCTATGATCTATCCAAATAAGATTCCAAAGAAAAAACTTTGGATAGGTAAGGTTTCAGGGTTGCTTAAGCAAACCTAGAGGACCAATGGTCCAGTTTCATGAAAAGTAACTGATTCGGCAGGCCCAGCAGTTGAGGTGCCGAACTTAGGTCCTGTAGGTCGCCCCCCCGGTCGGCTGTCAGTAAAGTTTGGAGTAGTTAGAAGTCAGGTAGGCCTGGTACCCGACAAGAAAAGTCCAAGGTCCCAGTCCAAATTTAGTGGCAGCAACCTTGGACATTCCGGTGGGTTCTGGAACTGGCAAAAGCACAGCCGACAGGCCTTGGGAGATTGTTACCGGTCTGGAGCCGACAAAAGATCTCAACTCAGCTGCTCTTTATAGAGCTACAGTCGTATGAAGGATTCACTTGTCAAGTCGTGTGTTGCCGAAGCTCTGCTGAACACGTGCGACCATATGGGTGGACTGGTTGGGGAGATTGAGCAAGAAGCTGGCGCAGCAGCGCCATAGCTAGGGCTAGCTAGGAGGAATATGGCCACTGTAGCTGATAGGGTAGCAAAAGATAGAGGCGAGTGCATTCAGAGAGTGAGAGTGAGTGGTCCAAGTAAGGAGAGCAAGAGATGCACGTGAGGAGAGACGGTGAGGTAGAGAGAGAGGAGAGGGAGAGCATACCTACGTGAGGGAGAGTGATGACCTGGGTGTTATGAACTTGGTCGTCTGACGAATTTTATCGCCACTCACACACAGACAATCTCACACATGCCCATGCATGCATAAGAGAAGGGGAGAGAGGAGACAAAGTCCAAACTGCACACAGGTGAAAATAAGCAGCGGAAGACAATCATGCACAGATGGGGAGAAGACACACAGTGTTTCTCACTCTCTGACACAACTCCCAACAACCAATCAC